CTCTCTCTCTCTCTCTCTCTCTCTCTCTCTCTCTCTCTCTCTCTCTCTCTCTCTCTCTCTCTCTCTCTCTCTCTCTCTCTCCTCATCCGTTTCACACTGCTTAACGACAACAGATGATAGATCGTCCTTCTCCATCTCCCCCTCCTGCTGCTCCTCCCGCTCTTCCTCCTTCCACCCCTGGTCCTCCCGCTGTCGGCGTGAATACCCTTACAAGGGTATCCGCCCTGGTTTTTGCAAGTGACAGGAAGGCTCGATTAACTTGGATTCTTGAGTGCCTACGAGGAAAACGCGGGGGTCGTCCGCACGCAGGCTAAGGTTTGTCTGAGTAGGACGGGTGAGTGGGCGCGCAGTTTAAGGCGCGCGTGTGATTTTCCCGTTTAAAATTAATCGCGACGCTGGTATAATTATCCGGCTTGTTTTTGTTTATTGATTAAATTAAGGATTAAAAGAACCGTTTTTTTCTTTTTTTTTACTTATTGCGTTCGGCCGGCGGTAGGCCCGGCATGAGGGGAAGATGTGAACGGTGGCTGCGACACGACATATACAAGGTGGCGTGGATACTCGGCGGCCGCGCGCACGGTTGAAGGGGAAGGAGAGGTTTGGGCTGTTTTCCCAGCCCTTAGTGGTAGGCCGCACCGACTATAGTGAAATTTGCGCAAGTTAGTTTCAGGCTTGGGCTTAGCCCTATTGGTTACGGTATCGGGTTCGAGAGACGGAGGCTTAGGGCTCGAGGCCAGCGGACGGCGGCGCGGGAGCAAAGGAGCAGCGAGAAGCAGAGGGGTCGAGGGTCCCGCGGGACTATCCCCCTTTTGGGTTGTTGAGAAAGTCCTGATCGCGGGTCCGCACCACAGGGTTAAGGGGGCTCTGGTAGGGCCCGCGGCCTGTCTCCTATGAGTGACAACGCTCCCTTTTCCTTTGGGGTTTTTTGTCCTAGACTTATTCTTGTTCCCCTCTTTTTCTAAAGTCGGCCAACTTGCTGACGCGACCGTTGGGAAGACCGGGTGACGTAAGAGGGGAGGTCCGGGAATGAACCCGGACGGGAGACGGGCAAAGGGGAGAGAGCTATGTGACGACTAGCCGCGCCGTGGAGCGTCGCGCCGCGCAAGTCCTTCGGGACATCCGCTAAAATCGAGACGATACGGAGAGAAGATCTGCGTGGCCCTGTACAAGGCTGGCACGCATAAAACCTAAAATATGGGTCGGCCCGGCCGGGTTCATGCACTAAGAAAAGGCAACACTGTGGCTGCACGAATTTCGAAAAGTCGCGAGCAATACCGCGGCCTGGGTCCTTTGGGACATCCGTTAAAGTTGGAACGATACAGAGGAGATCAACTTGGTCAGCGCCGGGCGGGCATTCGTGAGTCTGGGAACGAACCCAAACGCAAAGAGGGATAGGTGCATGCGATAAGGCAAAAGGGGAGGGTCGAACGACCTGTGGAGGTGCCGCGAGGCGGGCGCGGGGCTGCTCCGTATAAATCAAGGAGCGGCCCCCTCGCTCACTTTTTGTTGTTGCCTTGGTCTTTTGCCGGTCTGACTTCCGCGCTATCCGAGCTGCGGCATGCTAGCCGTGCTGACGACAATAACGACGCTAGCGGAGGTGAGAAGGATGGGTATGGCAGGGAGTGGCGTGGTTCACTCATCTCGAATCGGAATTGAGCTAGGGGAGAGGCAAAGTGGGGGTTTCGGCCATTGCGGGGCGAATGGTGGGGTTAGTTTTGGTGGAAGGGTAAGTAGAATAGGAGAGAGAGGAAGAGGTTAGTGCGCGAAGCTAGTCGGGGCTATGGTGGAAGGTGGAATGTCGAGGGAGGAGAAATCGAGATTTTACTCGACTGTTGGTGGGATCGACTAAGGAGAGGTGGGTTTTCGGGGGCTTGATCCCGGGCGAGCTGCGCAATGAACTCGGATTGGCGCGTGGGTGAATAGATTAAGGGCATAACGGAAAAGTGCGTGCGCGGAGGTTGTGCGAAAGCGGATATGGTGGAGCGGAGAGAAGACAACCGATTTGTCTCACATCGAAAGCAACGACGAGGAGATGCCGAGTGGGGGCTTTGAGATGTCGCGAGCACGGTGATGTAGTTAGTTTTGGGTTGGAAGCTCAGAGCTAGCGGTGCAGCAGCCCTGAACTGCGTGGGGAGAGGAGGTATGCGGTGTAAATGCACCGAGCCGCATTTTAGCGGAAGGTTCCTTCCGATCTTGCGTTTTCTATCAGCGGCCATAGTAAGGAGCCAGCCGCGAGTTAGGACTTACCTTTGAATCGGGTTGAAGGACGCAGCGCACGGGCATAGAGAGAGAGAGAGGGCTCACCTGTGAGTGGTGTATTTGACGCAGAGGTAAATTGAGAATATTAAAGTATCTTTTCGTGCTTTAGCGGTATATTCGTTCAATTTTGTAACTCCTATTGGCAAAAGTGCCGGGAGGCGAGCGTACGAGTCGATGACTTTTAGTTGGAGTTAGAGGTGTTGCTCGAATAGGAACGAAGCAAGGGGGCGAGGTACGTACCTGGCCGGCTTCGTGCAGCAGATCCGCTTGGCTTGGCTCGTTTGAATAGAGAGAAAACTGCATGAATGCGGACTCGGTCGAACAGGGGTAGTAAGGAAGTGGTGCATGTTCCCGCCCCTAGTGGGAGATTTGATTTGAATCTGCTCATTCGGCCGACGGGAGTACCATAACGCCAGTCGCGAGCGTCAGATGCCTACCCTTTTAGCTGGGATTGTGTTTGTAGCTAGAGGCGCGACCAGTCCGTAGGCTGCTAGTGGCACAGCGGTTGTGAGCTTCGGTGCCGATTGCCGAGAGGAGGGAAAGGCTACTGGCTGCTTTGCCCATTCCACTAGCCGAAGCAGCGAAAGCACCACACTGGGAAGGAGGTCTACCGGTTGCCTGAGAGCACTATTTGGTCGAGCGGGAAGAGAGGGAAAAGACCGATGTGCCTACAACATCGCCGTACCTTGCTGGGCGCACTGGGTCTTGCTGCAGAAGAGGCTGCTGAGCACGCTGCAGATAGCCTCAACTGTGATTCGTGCGGCAGTGGCTGCTGGACCTATTACGGAAGTGTCTGCTGCTGTTGTGGGGGACACCGTACTAAGTTGTGCTAGCCGTGCGCCTTGTTGCTCGCTCTAGCTGCGCTCCTTGCTACAACAATTGCTGAGTTGGCTGCGAATCGTTACGGGTCACTTTGGCTACAGTCTAGTAAGAGGAGGTGGTGTTACAACTTGAGAAGGTGGTTGGGTTCGTTAGAGGGGTTATTGTTGCACCTTGGGGGTTCGTCAGAAGACCGTTATTCTGTGCATTGGCCGCGGGGTGGCCACCTTCGCTGCGCTTTCTGGCCACCATTGCGGGGGCCCTCAGGCGTTCGAAGACTTCAAGGCCCTCTGGCGCGAGTCTGAGTGTACCCCTCTTGGATCTGAGTGACTCATTGTCTCTCTTTCTATCCTTCTTCCTCTAAGTCTAGTCTATTTGTTCTGAGAGGAAGGCGGCAGGCGGGGTTGCAACCCGTGATCCGTGCCAAGGCCTCTATGGGAGGTTTGCCCCACCGATTGCGGGAGCTCTGCCGGGACTCAGGAGGAGTCTTGGAGGCAGGGAACTGAGTGGTAATTCCCTGACCCCTTCTATAAACCCAACTATAACCCCTAGTTGTATATCTTTCTATGGTTTGATTGAATGTATTGCGTGAATCCTGTACTCTGATTTTGGTTTGACTTTCAGGACTTGAATTCAGACTAAGTAAAGGAATGTGTGTGCAAGGTCAATTTCAGATTTGTTGGTTGCCTGAAAGCAGATTGTGAACGAAAGAGGGTTGCATCTGGGAGGGGGGCTGGGAGGAAGGCAGTATTGTGTGCAGATTGATTGGATCGTTAAGGCGGGGAGGTCCCCATAAGTTTGGGGAAGCCTAGCGCTTTGTTTACTTTGGTTTTGCATGGAGCATCAGGCCGCTCTATAAGTTTAGGTAGCCTGAATGCTCTGGAGGCTGGGAAGTCCCCATAAGTTTGGGGAGACCCGGTGCAATGAATTGCATGGAGTGTCAGGACGCTGTATAAGTTTAGGTGACCTGACCGCTCTGACTGTGAGGGCTTGATTGTGGATGGTTTTCAGGAACCGAGGGCGCTCTATAAGTTTAGGCACCTTGGGTCGCCTTGTTTGCTTGGGGTTTCTTTCAGTTCTTTCTGTTATGAACGAGGAGGTCTGAACCGCCCTATAAGTTTACGTGGTCCAACCCTTTTCCTGTTTCACTTTGAGGGAGTAATTCTGGCAGGAGGCAGGCCGCTCTATAAGTTTAGGTGGCCTAGCCTACTGCCTCGCACAGACTGGATCAGAGAGGAACGAACCTGGCAGAGGATCAGACCGCTCTGTAAGCTTAGGTAGTCTGACCCAATGCCTCGCACATGTTGGAACCCAATGGTTATAAATTGGCTATACTATATTACTATGTTATTAAGAACAGGCTAGTCAGGCCGCTCTATAAGTTTAGGTAGCCTGGCTATAGCTTATCACAATTGAAGAGAGCATAATTAAGAGATATAATTGAAGGTTAACCTAGGCAGGCTGAGCAGTGTTCTAAGTTGAGCGGCTCAGCCTTACGTCCACTTTGAAGATCAAGTTCAGAGATATATATATAACTTGGCTATTTAAATAGTTCAGGGCAACTAGGGTGGTTTAGTCATATGCCCAAGGAAGAGAAAAGTTGTTGTGCCCTGTGTTTTGTGTATATCTGGCTAAGTCAGATGCGCTCTATAAGTTTAGGTGATCTGACTTTAGGCCTGGCTAAGTTGGGCGCGCTCTGTAAGTTTAGGTGGTCTGACCTATGCCTTATGTAAGTTGGGTAAAAAGGGGTAACTCACAGAGGGAGCATGAACTATTGTTTGCTAAGGATTTGGGGTTGGTGAGAGTACTTACTTTTGTGGTTTGGCCTGCATGGGGCTGAGTGAGGCTACTACTTGGTCTGAGTTTCAGGTTGACAGGTAGTTGCTTTAGAGGCTCGCCATGTGCTAGAGCGATAAGAGTTAGTTCAATTCCTGCATTTCCTGAGCGGACTTTATTTTACTTAGATCAATTCTCGCATTTTCTGAGACCCTTTGTTATACTTGGCTTGTATAAATTTTGGTAAGCTACTTTCCCTACGGGAAGCGCTGCCGAAATTTTTGCGAATCCGAAGAGTTAGTCAAATTTTCGACTTTTCAAAGTTCAGCCTGTCTAAGATTCATATATGACTTAGTAAAAATCTGGGAACTCTTCGTTTCTAAAGGGAGTGCTGCCCAAATTTTTACTAATTCAGGGAGTTAGACAAGATTGGGCTTTGAGAAGTCTAAGACTATCTCTGTGTTCATATTCGGGCTGATATAAATTCTGAAAAGGCACTTTTCCTGTATAGGGGAGACTCTGTCAAGGTCTACCTTTGCTTTGGGCACTGCTTAAGGGTAGATTTAGGCTTAGTTAGTCAGGCAGACTTTTGGAGTAGGATTGTGATTATCCTCCAAGGACTTATAGGTTTAGCTTGAGATTTTGCCTGTCATGTGTTACAGGTCCTCTTAATCAGTCGATTCAAGGATCTGGATTAGATTCAGCTTGATCCTACGAGGGTCTTCTTCTGTTATCACAGATAACAGGTCGGTTGCCGATTCGTCGGTCTACGACTCAATTCGAACTCACTCCCCCGGACTCAACCTAAAAGGCTTTAGCCCTGGTGATCTTTGTTGTTTTGTTAAGGTTTCACCCGGACTTTTATTGAATGGTCATTTAACAAAGGTGTTGAGTACTTAATTATGGTTGGCTGGACAGGAGATTGGGGCTTGCATGGCTAAAGCGAGGGGTATGAGTGTTGAGGATGGTTGAGGTTGACTCCGTGTAGCGCGTGGACTGTTGTTTGACTCTTTGATGTGATTGCAGGTATGTGCTGTGGCTTAGATTTTGGATTTGATTGCCTGCGACCACATATATACATATGGTTGTGAGAAACCCCACTGAGACTGTGAGAAGTGATCGTCATGTACTAATCCCCCTTTATACATACATACGAGTGTGTAACCATGATGAGCGTTCGCGTGGCCTAAGGGGCCCAGTACTAAAGGCGTACTCAGAGGATAGGACTGGGTGACGCAAGGGAGGCTCTTCCTTTCATTTGATTGCTTCTTGGGGGGTTTCTTGGTTGGACGTTGATTCTGACCCGGGGTTCAAGGTCCTTGTCCAGGACACCCCAAGCCCTAGACTCTGCAGGGGAGGGATCTCCCCTCGCGCAGAGCTTGTTTACTCTGCCCGTCGAGACACCCAACCCTGAGGGCGGAAGTGTTGCGAGGGCCGAACGGCATGTCCTTCAACCGTTCAATATCGTGAGGGGTAACCCCTCACGATATATTCCTTCAGCCGTTCAATATCGCGAGGCCGGAGCCGCGATTACCACGTATGACTGGCATCGTTGGTTGGTATGGGACTGGCGTGCAGCCGCGCGGCTTTATGTTAGGATCCTGCGCGCGACATTTCGTCGCGCTGGCTTCTAAAGGTTATGGGATCAAGGGACTCGCATGTATGCGCCAACGCTCGGGATTATTATGGGCCGTTGGTGCTGACCGAAAAGGGGTACCCCAGGGTCATGATTTCTTTCGGAATAGGGGGACCCCCCGACCTACTTTTGCTTTTTAGAGTTATCATGGTTGGACGTTATAGTCCGTGGCAGCCGTCAAAGTCAAACCCCTTGACTTCTGTCCGGGCGCGGAGTGGAAATCACCTCCAGGGCAGCAAGAAACGACTGCCACTACAGGTATGGACCTGTGTACCACCCGCTCTGCACAGAGTACAGAAGAGGGTGTGTGGTCTTCAACCGCGCATGGCGGTTGTCCAACGTCGAGAGATTAACCCTCAAGGCGCGTGTCAGCCGACACTTCAGTGTCGAATGCGACCCTCGAGATTAACGAGGACCGCATGGGTATGGGTACTACGTAGTACACCATCACTGCGACCGCTTGCGTACACTTGCATTGCGAGTCGATATGAGTAGGCCCTGCGTCCGTGCGGTTTTATACCAAGTCTCGCGCACGACGCCTATCGGATTTCCACATCGGAGAGTTATGGGATGGCTACGGAAGGGATAAGGAACGTTGTCGCGTTGTTTGTGTTGTGTGTTTCGTATGTGTATGTGTGTGGGTTTTATTTTTTTTGTGTGTTCGTAAAATGGAGTGCGCGTGGTGTGTGGGATGCGTCCTAGTCGATCGACGACGAGTCGCGCTTGGGACCTCAGCCCCCCAAGATGTCGGCTCGTGTGCAGGTCCGATAGAGGCGTATTACCGCGCGTACCCCCTATGCTACATCGAACGAGAAACGCCCTCGGCTGGTCCACCTCTGCGATTGCAACTGATTAACTTTCGTACTGTGGACTGGTAGCTCGGCGGGGATACGCCCACCGAAGGGAGGTGACAACTCCCGTAAGGTGGAGGTAAGTCGTGCCTCGCGTAG